CAACAGTTTCTGAAAATTGCAATTTCCTTTTGACAGTAAACTGCTCTTGGTTCGTAAAATGTTGAAACAAGCAGTGTTCAGAAAGTTTACGTTTCATTCAGGGAATACAGTGTGCGTTTAGTATATATCAAACATTTCTCTGAAAAACGTGTGGATAACAAGTTTTTTTGAAACAGAGAGAAAAAAATTATCGCTTTTCAATCATTTAAAAAATTAGTTTTTCCCAAAAATGTGGGGGGGAATATATAATTCTTCAACCCCTCTATATAACAAAACTAATACACACACTGATGTGGCTATTTGAATTTTTTACTGAGAGAATGTCTATCGGTAATAACCATAGGTCCTTTTAAGTCATAAAAAGCTTCTACTTCTGCTGCTGCTGTTTATTACATAAAACGTCCTGTCGATATAAAACCATGCCCTATCCATCAAAGACCCTTCCTTTTGTGTATGTTTAATCCTGACCTGTATATACACATATACATCAAATGCCTATTATTTTCTAGAACTTGCTTTTCAATCTATCAAAAATCTATCATTTTTTTTTTGTGGTGATAAATAAATAACATTTAAGTGGCCGTAAATGTTCAGAAAAATAGAAAAACAATTTTAGAGGACTTTTTTAAAATATATAGATTTTGGTAATTTTAACTCCTTTATTTTTAGATTATAATTCTTATTTAAATTCTAATTCTTAATATTCTAAATAGTATGTTTGATAATTAATTATTCATTTTATCTCTTTTGTTGAGAATAATATGGAAATGCTTTCTCTTGTCCATATTAGATGATACAAACTCATTTTCATCATGTACTTCGTAATTTTCATTCTATTCATAAATTTTAAACATCAAACAATTTATCCTGTATTATATAATCCTGTTCATAATTTTTATCCTCAACGTCAGATTTTAATCATGTTTATCAAAATCTTCATCCTATTCATAGTATTTATCCTGTACTTCTTAATTTTTATAAAATTCGGGTTATAATCCGAAGTACTTCGTAAATATCCTGTTCATCATTTTTGTTCTCTATTTATCATGAATTTTATTTATTTTTATTTTTCATAATATTTTTTTCTCCTTTAATTCATAAACTTTCTCCTTTAGTTCATAAATATGTTGCACTTCATTATCTTTATCTTGTACTCTATTCTTTTCATAACATTTATCCTCTACATCATCAGCTTTCTTCTATCATCCTAATCTTTATTCTGGATTTCATAATCTTTATTCTCTACTATACATAATATCAATGTAAAAAAAAAGAGTTTAGTTTAACCAAGAATTTCCTGGATTTTGTGATTTAACAAACCAATCAGTTTTTTTTTAACTTTATACTTCATTATCTATATCCTGCACTTCCTAAAATCTTTACCCAATATATCACATATAATCTTTAACTTGATCCTTATGATATTTATTCTAAGTCTTATAATGTAAAACATGGTTCTTATCTTGTTTCATTCCTTGTTGATTTACGATCCGTTTTCTATCTATCTATAATTTTTCCTACCATACATGGTCACCCTAATCTTTCATCTATTTATATACTTTCAACCTTTTTTTTCCACCAACTTCCAAATCTTATTTTTTTGTTCATCAATATCTTGTTTTAAATCATGAAATAAATAAGAAATCCTCCGTAAAATATTTTGATTAAATATTATATATTTGCTATAATTATATATTATATTTGCTAGAAATTCAATATTTCTAAATTAAAAATTGTTCAATAATTCATTTGAATAAAAATAGATTTTTTTTTCTTATTGTATACTTTCATTTTAGTGTTAGAAAATTGTAGGGTCATATAGAGTGAATATATAAACAAGGGGTAAATGTAAACAGTAGATGTTTGCGCTTAATTTAGAATTTCGTAAGTAAGTACGCTATGAAAATTTTAACATTTTGTTATACATATAAAGAAAAAACAACCCTCGTTTTCTACAATATTGTAAAATATCTGCTTATTATAAACCTCTATGAAATGATAGAACATTTATTTAGATAAATTGAGTATTATAACTTATTGACTTGACGAACACCATTTCCTAATGCGGTCAAGGTCAAACTGCAGTTTATCAGAATTCTCTAATGATTTGATATATATAAGACGTCATTTGCATAAATTAGGATTGAGAAATCTTGACAATCTATAATTTAATTATCTAGTCATCACTAATAATGTTTTTTTAACTGAAAATAATTTAGGTATAAAAATTAATTTTAATCTTCTATTAATTAGTTTCTTTTCCATCTTGTTGATGTTAGTTTTGTTCATTAATTGCTAAAAATTTTGATTGTTTCATTAAATTCTCCCAAGAGAATTTTTGTTACATTGATGTTTCCATTCTATGATCCTTATGGTACACAACAAAAGCTTGTTTCATCGTTTATTATAATTTTTTTTACCTTGTATTCATCATCATACATGTAGTTATTTATCATATTTTCCATCTTGTTTATCCGATTCATCTTTTTTGTTCATCTTAATCTTCATGTTATGTTCATTATAATTTTCATGTTTTTTGAGAAAAATATGCTATTGAATCAACAGCATTTCTGCTAAAGGCAAAAAAATTATTATACGCTATAGAATTTGTAAAATATTATATAGATTCAATAGCATATAATTTTGAATAAATAATTTTCATTACTTTGGCAGAAATGGTGTTGATTCAATAGCATATTTTTCTCAGTACATATATATTCTTTAACATAATATGCTTGTTTATCATAATCTTCATGTTATTCATAATCTTCATGTTTATCATAATTTTTATCTTCATCTTGTTCATCGTAAACTGTATTCTGTTTATTATAATCCTGATCTTCTGCAGTACGATCTTTATCTTGATATCATATTGACTAGAATCTACTATACAGGAGTACTGGAGTCCTTCTTATCAGTTTTATTTGTAAACGTTGATAATATTTATATTAACACCTAAATCTTTATTCCTTGCATCATTATAGATGAACCTTATTGGATTAGACGACAATTCCTATTTCCTGCAAAGGAATTCTTGTTATGATTATGAATGAACCTAATTGCGCTAGGCAACAATTGCTATTCACTGTAAACCTTAATTTTGGGTATCATTATGGATAAACCTAATACGACTAGACTACAACTTCTATTCATTGCGAACCTTAATTCTTGGCATCATTATGAATGAATCTGATTCGACTTGACAATTTCGATTCCCGGCAAACCTGAATTCTTGGTGTCATTATGGATGAACCTAAATTGGCTAGACAACAATTATTATACACTGCAAACCTTAATTCTTGGTATCACTATGGATGAACCTAATTTGACTATAGGCCACAACTCCTATTCTCCTGAAAACCTTCTCGGTATCATTATGGATAAACATAATTCGATTGGATAGCAGTTTCTATTCACTGCAAACCTTAATTCTTGTTATCACTGTGGATGAACCTAATTCGATTGGACAAAAATTTTTATTCACTGCAAATCATAATTCTTGGTATCATTATGGATAAACTTAATTAATCTAGACCACAATTACTATTCACTACAAATCTTAATTCTTGGTATCACTATGGATGAACCTAATTTTATTAGGCCACAACTCCTATTCTCTGAAAGCCTTAATTCTCGGTATCATTATGGATAAACATAATTCGATTGGATAGCAGTTTCTATTCACTGCAAACCTTAATTCTTGGTTTCATTATGGATAAACCTAATTAATTTAGACCACAATTACTATTCACTACAAATCTTAATTCTTGGTATCATTATGGATAAACCTAATTCGACTAGACCACAATTACTATTGACTACAAATCTTAATTCTTGGTATCATTATGGATAAACTTAATTCGACTAGACCACAACTCCTATTTCTTGCAAACCTTAATTCTCGGTATCATTATGGATAAGCATAATTCGATAGGATAGCAGTTTCTATTCACTGCAAACCTTAATTCTTGGTATCACTGTGGATGAACCTAATTCGATTGGACAAAAATTTCTATTCACTGCAAATCCTAATTCTTGGTATCATTATGGATAAACCTAATTCGATTGGATAACAGTTTTTATTCACTGCAAATCTTAATTCTTGGTATCACTGTGGATGAACCTAATTCGGCTAGACGATTTCTATTCACTGAAAACCCTTATTCTTGGTATCATTATAGACAAACATAATTCATCTAGACCACAATTACTATTCACTACAAACCTTAATTCTTGGTATCACTATGGAGGAACCTAATTTGACTAGGCCACAACTCCTATTCTCTGAAAGCCTTAATTCTCGGTATCATTATGGATAAACATAATTCGATTGGATAGCATTTTTTATTCACTGCAAACCTTAATTCTTGGTATCATTATGGATAAACCTAATTAATCTAGACCACAATTACTAATCACTACAAATCTTAATTCTTGGTATCATTATGGATAAACCTAAATCGACTAGGCAACAACCTCTATTCCTTGCAAACCTTAATTCTTGGTATCATTATGGATGAATCTAATTTGATTGGATAACAGTTCCTATTCACTGCAAACCTTAATTTTATGTATCATTATGGATGAACCTAATTCGGCTAGACGATTTCTATTCACTGAAAACCCTTATTCTTGGTATCATTATAGACAAACGTAGTTGAACTAAATAATTTCAATTCACTGCCAACATTCAATTGTTGCTCTATCATTATATCTAAAAACATCATTCTTTTCATAAAAAAAATCCTAGAAGCATTATCAATACAAACGATCCTATTTTGCTCCAAATCCTTCACTTAACGACGGAAATTATGTTTTACTCATCATAACCCCATTATTATACACTACTATTTAAAAATTGTATCGTAAATTTAACAAAATTTTACGCATATCCTATCAGTATATTATAAAACATATCCCTCTAGGAGATTTTCAAAAAATACATATAATTTTTTTGTAGAAGTATATATTTTATCTTTTGACAAATGCATTTTTCCTACCTTGAGATGAAGAAGAAAGAGGATCTCTTCATTTTCCTGTGGGACACTAATGTTTTCCAGTGGTATAGCACGACACTGCGCGAAAGAACACGCCAACTATATATATATATATATATATATATATATATATATATAGATATTACTATATCAACAACAATTTCACACTCACGTCAGTGAACACTGCACCCTATACATATACGTAAACATGGATATGTCGACTCTTGAGACACTTGTAGTATTCTCCCGTTTCTATAACTAGTCCGTTTTTTTTTTGGTTACTTCACCCTTTTTGACTAGCAATAGCTTCACTTTTCATTATAATAATAATGAGAATCATCTCATATATATATATATATATATACACTACACGTAAACCTGAATTTTTGGTATTGAATTATTGCCGTCGCGAAACATCCGACGCATTTTAAACGCCAACAGTCTCTTTTTTGACATGACTAGATTCGTTTCGAAGAAAATAAAAACGCAAAAAAAAATAAAATAAACTAACAAAACAAAAAACGATAAAACACCACTTACACACACACACACACACAAAAAAAAAAAAAAAGAAAAGTCTACGCGATAATACCGATACCGCACTCTCCAGTTGTTTTGTTCATTTTATCATAAAACCGACCGAAATCCACCTCTTTTTGGAACAATCATCACATAGAGATCATTTTTAGACACTAATTAATTACTCCTAACATTAAAGTTAGGATTTGAATTTTGTAATTATATCATTGCTTCTTCTTTTTTTGATGATTAACAATTCATCTTGAATATAGAGTATTGAAATATTCTTCAAATTGATGATTAGGCGCAATTCAAATGTTCTTCAGTGATGATAAATTGAATACACAATTCCAGTTGATTTTTTGTTAAATGACTAATAGGCAAAGCACCATAGGTTGTATTTACATTTACTATAAACACTGAATCGGAATGAAGAAAGATGGGTTGTATATATGTATGTATGTATATATATATATATAATGAAGCACTGGGACTTCCGAATCAACAACCTGTTAGTCGCACTTCCGCCTTGGGTCGCGGCACGCGACAGGATGACTTCCCGTCACGCGAGGGCCGCGCATACTTTCAGTTCCTGTTTGGGCCGACAATACAACAACACTGTTTCTTGTTTAAAGACGATTTCATTGCGCACTAGTTTTTTTTTGTTATGATGAACACAAGTTTAAGAAAGAGCTTTTTTTTTGGTGATTATTATGATGATGATGGTGGTGGTGATGATGATGATGCAGGTGGCTGCGGTTCCTGGTGGCTGGTGGATGTGCCAGAGTGCGGGCTTACAGCGGAATGAAGAGGAAAGCTCGGCTTAGGGGGGCCACAGCGTGGCATCGCCGACTGCGATGAGCGAGAGAGTTGCGCGTTATCGACCCATCGCACAAAGCTATATTCAACTGCAATCACTATATCTATATATGTACGGCGCGTGTGCGTTTGTACGCTTCTATATTCCCCGTGTTTCTATCCTTTTCTTTTGCCTTGGATTTTTGTTGTAAAGCTTTTCTCCCTGTTGCTTTTATATACATATATATATATATATATATATACACATACAAGCAGAAATACATAAATACATTCGTAGTTTAACGTATACTAATAGATACACATACACACATTTATATTTTCATGCGCATACATATATAAAGATATATATACTTATACGCACATATATATTCATTTATACATAAACACATATTAACACATATACACAAATACAATATATACTCTCTAAATCTGAATTAGTAAAAATGTTTACTAATTTAAATTAGTGACTCACTTTTTGCATTATAATTAGTTAAATTTTACTAATTGTTAGTTAAAGTTAGTAATAATTAGTAAAATTTTACTAATTTAGAAGCAAAAAGTGAGTCACTAAATTAGTAAACATTTTTACTAATTCAGATTTAGAGAGTACATATATTCAAAAATACATAAACATAAATACACTTGTAATACTAACATACACAATGTGTATTACACATACATAAATTCATCCATACGGAGAAAAAAGTTAGCTAATATAGCTAAGTATTAGCTATTTCTGCTAACATCTTAGCTGGATGCTGTTAGCTATGGCAACTAGTAGTTGTCAGCTAGAGGACCCGAGGAGACCTAATTCCTTGATAACACATGATATCTTATGGGATATAATGATAATATCCCGCAGATATCCTAGGGATGTCCTATGGATATCAAAAGGATCTCTTAAGGATATCCAAAAAATCGGCGGTTTGGATATTCTTTGGATATCCCATGGATATCTGAGGATATCCACAGGATATCTTCTGGATATCTCTATAGACTTTTACTTTCACTTTTTGTTTTTATTATATTATTATTCATTATATTAGCTTAACAATTTTAACCTTTAAAAATATATATTGAGATATTAAATACCCCGTGAATATCATAAGAATATCCCACGGACGTCCTAAGAATATCGCACGGACATCCTAAAAATATCCCACGGACATCCTGAGGATATCCTATGGATATCCTGCGATATAATATCCAATAGATATTTTGTGGATGTCTTAGGGATATCCTGTGGATATCCTATGGATGTCCTGTTGATGTCCCACAGACCGGCGGTTTGGATATCCTAGGGATATCCTATGGATATCCTTTTGTTATGTTATGTTATGTTATGTTAATTTTTTTTTTTTCAAATTCTTGATTATAGCTCAGAAGTTCACCCAAGAAAATTTGGTTCGATAGGTAAAAATATTCTACCGAACGCGTAAACTTACTATTTAAATAAATAAGCAAATTTCAGATTTGATTAGCTCAGAAATTCACCTAAGAAAATAGTTATATCTAATGTTCAGTAGCTAAAAATATTCTACTGAAAGTGTAAATTTACTTTTCATATAAATTAGGCAAATTGTTCATTTGATTAGCTCAGAAATTCACCCAAGAAAATTTATCTAAAATTCAGTAAACAGGTAAATATAATCTACCGATCGCGTTTATTTTTTTCAAATTCTTAATTGTATTTAGCTTAAAAGTTTACCCAAGAAAACTTATTTTAGATTCGGTAGGTATAAATTAACAACAACAAAAATTAAATTAATCTCTAAAATCTCTTAGTCGTAAAATAAAATTATTTATGACGGTTAAATTTTTTAAATTAATTTAAAAATTAGTACTGCACCGAGAAAGAAAAGTTAGTTGATATAAAGCTAACTCTTATAGCCATTTTGTTTGTTTTTACTTTGTTTATCTGAAAAAAATGTTAATTTAAAAAAAAAAATTATGTTACTATTTTAACAGTTTTTTTTAAACATCATGAAATGAATTACAAAAATACGAAAAAAATTTACTAACTGTCAGAAAAGTTAAATATATTCGATAAATTAAAAATTTATTTTATTTAAATGAACAAAAATTTACGTAAAAAAAATACTCAACTGAAATTTTTCATGTTATCCCAAAATTTCAACCTCAATCCGGAAAATAACTTTTTCACTCTCTCCTTAGAAATAAGATCCTTATTTTTAAAATTCTTTCTTCTAATAATAAAAATTAAATAAAATTTATTTTTAATATTTTCTGTTATTTTATATAAAAGTTTTGTTTAAATAAATTAGATTTATTTTTAGGTTAAGTGTACGAAACTGAATTCGTTATACGTTACTTTTGATGCGTTAGTCCCATTTACCGAGAAGCAGCTTCATTCAACATTTTTAAATAATAATTATTTATTTAATTATATTTGACACATTTCATGTCTACTCAATTGTTACAATAATTCTACCAAGTTTCAGCTTAATAATTGACAAATGGTCCGGAGATGTGCTCACTTGGCGTGATTTGACTCAATAAAGAGAGAGAGAGAGAGAAGGGGGAGACTATCGTTGCGGGAGGTTTAAAATTTCAAGTTTAAATGCTTGGGAAAATTCTTTCTATGTTGAATATGTAATATTTCATTTATTAATAGTCTAGTCAAGTTATTATTTTTAGACTCTATGACTTCAAACTCCTTTTCTTTTTCTTCTTCTTAAATCATTCATATTTGGGTAAAAATAAAGCAACTAATGAATTTCAATTCAACCGCGTGAGCTAAAAAATTTTTTTATAAAAACTGTGCAAAAAAAAATCAGTTTTATTTTCGAAAATTGTTACTTCGCATTATTGCATTTTTAACTTACAATATTTACATTATTAAACTAAACTAGAATAAAAAAAAATTTTACTTTTAAAAATTAAATATTTCAATGAATAATTTCATTTTGTTCAAATTAATAAGAAACAGATTTTCTATTTTGAAAAAAAAAAACAGTTTCACAGTCTTTTTTAATAATCATTAGTAATTGATGTATATGTATATAAAACAATGTTTGTCTATATTTTGAAATGATTACGAGGTATTAATTAATTAATTAAACAACATCTCTAATAACAAAGTTGGAGTTGAATTCATCAATAAATTAGTATTGATATATAAATTATTATATAGCAAAGTTTCTTGTTAAGCAACACGTTACATTATTAAGTTCTAATGTTTATTATCTATATATTATTAGGGGGGTGGGGAAAGGGAAAAATTGTTTTACTTTCAAAGTAGGTCAAAGTTTGAACGTAAGAAGTGAGTTTATTACGCCAAACAAGCATTTACCTTAAGGCATTAATGATTTCAATAATGAAGATTGTCCAAAGAAGAACTATTAGAACTCCTATTCAACTCGAAAAGTTAATTTTCCTAATCTTGTTCTTTTTTCTCTACTGTTGACAAAAAAAAAAAAAAAAAAGTTAAATGTCACGCGCTTCATTGCAAAACTCGCTTAATTGTATTGCTTTATAACTTTTTTTTCAGTAAAAAAAAAAAAAATTTTTTTTATTATTAAATACAAAAAAATTTAGTATTTTAGAAAAATAAGCATAATATATAACCTTGCAAATATCGTGAAACTAAAATTAATCGACTTTATAAATAAAAGACCTTTGTTTTTTTTTCCTTTTTTTTTAATATAACCCAAAGATTCTCCAGCTGATTTTGAAGTAATTTACTGAAACTTGAGAAAGCTCGATAAACAATTACAAAGACGTAAATTTCCCATTTGGCGTAATTAAGTAGCGCGCACAAAAAGGTTCATTGACTATAAATTATTGTATGTGTCTCGACGATAAAATAATTCTACAAACAAACCAATTCTTGGCCGCTATTTATTCTCATGAAAAATTGCATTCTCACATTAAGAGAAAAAACTCGGTATTTTTTTTTTATCCTGAATATTCAAATATTAAATTATTTTTTAGAAAAAAAATTCAATATTATATAATTTATTTTTGAAAAGTTTTGGGCAATGAAATCTTTTTTTTCTATTCTATTTTGGTGAAAATTGTGTATTTTATTTGAATGCATCAACTATAAAATGTAAAGAAATATCTTATATAGGTTTTAATGCGAAAAACTAAACGTGATACGTGGCGCGCAATGCGGTCTGATTGTATCAAACATGTAATTCTAGTGTGTCTGCAGAGCCGAATAATTGCACATAGAAAGGCAGAGAGAGAGAGAGAGAGAGAGAGAGACCATATAGCCCTATACTACTCCTAGCCCGCACTCACAATCCGTATATATATACACTATTTCTATAGTACAACTAACAATGAGAGCAGCAAAATTAAATTTGTCGAGCGAGATTACACCCGCGCCTTCAGTGCTCTTTTAATTATATTAAATTATTTCTAGCATTTTTTTTTCATGTTTACCAAACGAGTTTTAAAAACCTGACAATAGAAAAGAGACTTCATTCTATTAAAACATTTTTCTTATACCTACATTTATTAGTATTCGTGAAAAGATAATTTAATTTAATAAACAACAAAAAATTTCTCTCTACTATTATCTAAAGTTAATTAAATTATCGATTAAAATTATGTACAACGATCAGTTATTCATTATGGATCAGTAATTATGGTTAACAATGTAATACGTGGCGTTCTTCGTTAAGACCAATATAATGGATTCATGAAACGTTCTGCATGAGATAGAAAAGGACACAAGCATATGTCCTATCCTTTTCTGTTTCATGCTTAACGTGGCGCCACCTACTTCATTTATGTTGCAACGCTATTTATTTTTGAACTCAGATTTAGGCCGTTTTCGAATTGGGACATTTAGCGCATGAAAAAAAGGAATTACTTATACAGATATGCTGATGTTTTGGTAATCTGTCAAACTTAGTAAACACTGCTAAATTTTTTGCAAGGACAACAAAAAAACTTTGCTGTGATAAACAATATCAGTCTTAATTTTTAAATATTTACTGTCACAGCAAACTTTTTTGACCTCACAGCAAATTTGTTTGCTTTCGTCGGTGCAAATAAAAGGACACTGCATACATTTACTTTA